AAAATTAGTTGGGTATGGTGGCAGGTGCCTATAACACCAGTTATTCAGAAGGCTGAGGCAGGAGAGTCACTTGAATCCGGGAGGCAGGTTACAGTGAACCCAGCACGTGCCGCTGCACTCCAGCCTGGGTGACAGAGTGAGACTCCGCCTCAAAAATAAAATAAAACTTAGTCCCCATTAAACACTAATTCCCCCTCCCCCCAGCTCCTGTTAGCCACCATTCTGCTTCTGTCTCTATGAAGCTGACTATTCTAGGAACCTCATAAGTGGAGATGTCAGATCTTTTTCTTTAAAAAATTGTGAAATAGGGCCAGGCATGGTGGCTCACGCCTGTAATCCCAACACTTTGGGAGGCCCAGGTGGGTGGATCATGAGGTCAGGAGTTTGAGACCAGCCTGGCCAACATGGTGAAACCTCGTCTCTACTAAAAATGCAAAAATTAGCTGCACGTGGTGACAAGCACCTGTAATCCCAGCTACCTGAGAGGCTGAATTGCTTGAACCCAGGAGACAGAGGCTGCAGTGAGACAAGATTGCACCACTGCACTCCAGCCTGGGTGACACAGTGAGATTCCATCTCAAAAATAAAAATAAAAAATTGTGAAGTATAGCAAACATCAAAGCATGCCTAAAACATTTCTGTGATTTAAAGAATACCGTCATGGGGTATGGTAGCTCATGCCTATAATCACAGCACTTTGGGAGGCCAAGATGGGAGGATCAGTTGAGCACAGCAATTCAAAACCAGCTTGGACAACACGGTGAAAACTTGTCTGTACAAAAAATTAGTCAGACATAGTGGTGTACACCTGTAGTCCCAGCTACCCGGGAGGCTGAGGTGGGAGGATCACCTGAGCCCAGAAGATTGAGGCTGCATTGAGCCGTGATCTGCCCTCCATCCTGGGCAACAGAGTGAGACCCTGTCTCAAAAGAAAACGCAGGCTGAGCGTAGTGGCTCATGCCTGTAATCCCAGCAATTTGGGAGGCCAAGGTGGACAGATCACCTGAGGTCAGGAGTTTTGAGCCCAGCCCGGCCAACATGGTGAAACTCTGTTTCTACTAAAAATACAAAAATTAGCCCAGCGTGGTGGTGGACATCTGTAATCCCAGCTACTCAGGAGGCTGAGGCAGGAGAATCTCTTGAATCCAGGAGACGGAGGCTGCAGTGAGCCAAGATTGTGCCACTGTACTCCAGCCTGGGTGACAAGAATGAAACTCCATCTCAAAGTAAAAAAAAAAAAACAAAAAACACCATCATCCCCTCAGTGTCCATAGAGGATTGGTTCCAGGATCCCCTTCGGATAACAAAATCTGATACCAAAATCTGTGGATGCTGAAATCACTTGTATAAAATGGCACAGTATTTACATATAGTCTACATACATCCTCCTTTAAATCATTTCTGTATTACGTATAACACCTAATGCAATGTAAATATATAAACAGCTGTTATACTGTATTGTTTTCATTTGTATTTTTTGTTGTATCATTTTTTATTTATTTTTTCATCTGTGGTTGGTCGGGTTCACAGATGTGGCACTTTTGAATAGGGAGATACAATTATAAAGTAGTACCCATAGTACCCCCCCTTGGGGCATGAAATACAGGTACCCACTCCTTTTTGTGTAGAGCAGCAATTATCAACCCTGGCCCTGTATTAGAATCCCCCTCCCCCAATCCCTCAGGAAGCTTCAATCCCCATTTCTGCACTCCAAAGATTCTGGCTTAATTGGCCTGGGGTGGCTACCTGGCCACTGATCTTTTAAAAAACTACCTGAGGCCAAGCACGGTGGTTCATGCCTGTGATCCCAGCACTTTGAGAAGCCAAGGCGGGTGGATCACAAGGTCAGAAGATGAAGACCATCCTGGCTAACACGGTGAAACCCCATCTCAGCTAAAAATATGAAAAATTAGCTGGGTGTGGTGGCACGCACCTGTAGTCCCAGCTACTAGGGAGGCTGAGGCAGAAGAATTGCTTAAACCTGGGAGGCGGAGGTTGCAGTGAACCGAGATCACGCCGCTGCACTCCAGCCTGGACAACAGAGTGAGACAGAGTCTCACTCTGTCCCAAAAAAAAAAAAAATCCTACCTGAAGGGGTTCTCCTGTTCAGTCGAGGTTGGAAATGACTGCCCTGGTTTGGGAGAATTACTTGCTTTTCAAGTTTACCGCATATACGTGCATCCCTAACTAGTGTACTTCATTTTCCCTGATTTGGAAGTTTCTGGAAGGAACCACACTGTACATATTCTTTCATGATTTGCTCTTGCTCCTAATTATAAAGTGCATCTGGGTTGTATAGCATGTGGTTTGAATTCCAGAGTTGGAATAGACCAGTTAGGTCATTTGGCTGTTACCACAATGCTGCTCCTGGTGCAGTTACACAAGGATTTCCAGATTAGAGTGTCTGGCCTGGTGTGTTGTTTGCTAGAGCTGCCATTAACACAGTCTGAGTGGCTTAAAACAACAAATGTGTTAATAGTCTCTTGGTTCCAAAGGCCAGAAGTCCCAGCACAACGTCACTCTGAAGCCTTGAGGGTTAGAATCCTTTCCAGATTCTCAGATGGCTCCAGGTGTCCCTTGACTTGTGGCTGCATCACACCAATCTCTGCTTCCATTTTTCTTTCTTTTTTAAATTTTATTTTTTGAGACAAGAGTCTTGCTCTTGTTGCCCAGGCTGAAGTGCAGTGGCACAATCTCGGCTCACTGCAACCTCCACCTCCCAGGTTCAAGCAATTCTCCTGCCTCAGCCTCCCAAGTAGCTGGGATTACAGGTGTACACCACCAGCCCCAGCTAATTTTTGTATTTTTAGTAGAGACGGAGTTTCACCATGTTGGCCAGGCTGGTCTTGAACTCCTGACCCCAAGAGATCTGCCCACCTTTGCCTCCCAAAGTACTGGGATTAGAGACCTAAACCACTGTGCCCTGCCTGATTCCATCTTCACATGGCTTTCTCATGTCTGTCTGCTCTTCCGACCTTTTTTTTTTTTTTTTGAGACAGAGTCTCACTGTGTTGCCCAGGCTGGAGTGTAGTGGTGTGAGCATAGCTCACTACAGCCTTGAACTCCTGGGCTCAAGCGGTCCTCCTGCCTTACCTGAGTAGCTGGGACTACAAGCACACACCACACCCAGCTGATCCTTTTAAAAATTGTAGGCCGGGCATGGTGGCTCACACCTGTAATCCCAGCATTTTGGGAGGACGAGGAGGTGGATCTCAAGGTCAGGAGTTTGAGAGCAGCCTGGCCAACATGATGAAACCCCTTCTCTACTAAAAGTACAACAATTACCCAGGCATGGTGGCACACACCTGTATTCCCATCTACTCAAAAGGTTGAGGCAGGAGAATTGCCTAACCCAGGAGGTGGAGGCTGCAGTGAGCCAAGATCATACCATTGCACTCCAGCCTGGTCAACAGAGCAAGACTCCATCTCAAAAAAAAGGCTGGGCGTGGTGGCTCACGCCTGTAATCCCAGCACTTTGGGAGGCCAAGGCAGGTGGATCACCCGAGGTTGGGAGTTCGAGACCAGCCTGACTAACCCGGAGAAACCCCATCTCTACTAAAAATACAAAACTTAGCCGTGCATGGTGGCCCATGCCTGTAATCCCAGCTACTTAAGAGGCTGAGGCAGGAGAATCGTTTGAACCTGGAAAGTGGAGGTTGCGGTGAGCCAAGATTACACCATCGCACTCCAGGCTGGGCAACAAGAGTCAAACTCCATCTCAAAAAA